TGCTAGTTAGATAGGGATCAAATAGTATAGAAAAATAGAGCTTCGTTTTCTCTATCGTTCTGTAAAAAAAGAATTTATTTTTGATCGTCTTAAAAGAGAATAAGGTATCTCCGACATTACTTTTGGCTAACCCTAAGTAAATTATGCTAGGTTGTAGTTCATTACAGGAGCTATCAGAATATGTATAAATCTCAGAATCGAATTTTTTCGAAAAAATGAGGGTGTGGGTGGAGTGTGGGTGGGTGTGGGTGTGGGTGTGTGGGTGGGCGTGGTGCGTGTGGGTGTGGGTGGGTGTGGGGTGTGGTTGTGGGTGGGTGTGGGGCGTTGGGTGTGGGTGGGTGCGTGTGGGTGTGTGGGTCTGGGTGTGGGGTATATGGGTGGGTGTAATTGTGGGTGTCCGAGTGTCTTTTCCTTTCACCCACACCCACACCCACACTCATCACGCAGCCATACCCCACACCCGCCCACACTCACCCACAGCTACAGCCACACACCATACCCACACCCACAAGGTCCTATAAAATAAGTTCATGTCGCCCTCGCATAACAAGCTGAAAAACGTTACAGCACCAACATCCTCCTTAGTTCATCTACACTTCTCGACTTCGAGCGATATGCAATAAAATTTAGATACCTAACTTATGTGATGATGCCCCATGAAAATGGTCGAAACCGGTCGTAGGTATTGCTTCGGTATCTAAATATATCCAAAACTTATATACACACTCACCCACACCTACACCCACTCCCACACACACCCTAGTTTTCTTCTCAATCAAGCTTATAGAAGATGATGCTCTAGTGTGTAAATGAACATTGTCATATAATCGTTGCGTAGATATGAATTTGTTTTTCTTATCAATTTGAAATAATTTTTCGACAAAAGAGTTGTTGATTTGCATTCTTTGGCACAAGTCTGCGAGTAAAAGAGTAGCTTTCTTTCTTTCCACAGTCGTCATTGTTTCAGTTAATGGTTTTCATATTTATTCTACGTAATAAAAGAAAGCAAACATTGGTTTTTATGAAATTCATCGACGTAGATGCAAACAAATTGAATTGTATGATTTTGAGTTGCGTCTAAGTATAAACTACGTTCATTTTATTCCAGTCGAATAGTAAATAGAAAACGTTGAAATACTGAAAAAATAGTTTATTTTTCTTCCAATCATCAAATACAGTTCTAATGGATGTACATAGGCAAATTCGATATTCTTCTCAGTACAGTACACATGAACAAATCAGTTTAGATGAGCAAAATGTTTTCATTTGTGTCACAACCGTTGATAATTTTTTGAAAGACAGAACAACACATAGTAAAATGAAAATACCATCTCTTGATAAAATCATACATAGTACAGTTCAAAAATCTAATTAATTTTTTTTAAGAATTTTTTTGATACAATAGAACTTTCAATGGTCCTCTATCATTAATAAATGAAATCAAATCATTTGATCAAAATAGAGTCAAAGAATTCAACTTTTTTATTGTAAAGCTACTTATTGACCATTCTGTATATTGCCATTAACCATGTGGGGATCGACCTTTTTTTTATGGAAATAAAACTAAATTTTTGGTTTCAAACTCAATTATAGTTGAAAACTGTTAAATGTTTTTTTTCATTCAGATTTTATGCAAGATATGCACACTGTTTGTTTTGAAACAAAAGAAACAAAAAGCACATTCAAGAAATATAATAAATACATTCAATAATATATGAGAAGGAAAGTTAGTAATAAAAAAAAAAAAACTCTAAATATATATGTAGATATATGCGTGGATAAGTCGTCTTTTTTAGTTTTTGACTCTTGTGTCTCCATGTAACAAAACCTCTTTGAAGAGAGTTTGATGTGTTTTTTATGTACAGGAGATGGAAAGCGTTTAACAGTATAGCTGATTGACTGCCAAGTCAGTGTAAGACGACTTAATGCTGATGATGGACTACACTAAGTTACATATATGTATATATTGTACTTAAACTATTCCATAGCGTCTATATGTGTGCCACATATATCAGAATAATAAAAAAATCATACTCCAACAAAAAACAGTTTTAGTGAATTTAAGTACTTTTCTCTTCAGTCAATTTTGGTATAAGTGGAAGTGGCAAAATATGAATATTATGTATAGAAAACATTCAAAACGAAATCAATGAATATAAGAATGTCACAAGTGGTGAAAAGAATTACATGGTAAAAACAAGTATTCTCTTTCAATGTAATTCCGAATTTAGATTAGTTAAGTTAAGTCTATTGTCAATATTATATTTTCTTCCATTCTTATCAGCACTGTTATTATCGAAGGTGGTAGCTGCTGAAGTTTCTTTCTTTTTCTGACATTTTTCAATTAAAGCATCTCGTCCTTCCATAACACCAGATATCACGAATTTTAAAACTGTTGTCAGACCACCAATTATACCGAGTAAAGCAGTTACTACTTCAATTGGTTCCCGATGTATTTGTACTATATATGAACATGACGATGGTTGACAACCAGTATAATATTGTTCAAATGATTTGTTTGCATTCCAGTCTTCGATAAATAGTTGTTGTACAATTAGATTTAGTGGTGTAGTTGGAGTATATCTACTTTTTTCAGATAAATTGAGAATATGCATTGATATATCTGAAGGAATGTTTAAAGTAGCAACGAACATTTTATCATAGAAAACTTGTAAAGTAGAAGCAAACATAGCTTCTATAGTTGAGCAACCAGTATAAACTCCAGGTATACGATATAGCTGTGAACTGCCACCCACCTGCTCGATGAAGGCTGGTTCAATACATGATGAATTCATATAGCAATAACACGTGTTGTTGTCTGAATCGGTTAACGTTCGAAAACCAAATTTTACGGGCATTAATTGAAATAATGCAGTTACATTTACGTGTCCATAGAAGTTTGTTCCATGAGCGCCACGCAAAATTTGATCGTTCGTCAAAAATCTTCGTATCAAATCAATCGATTTTTTAAATGAATTTGCCGTGGAGCTAGTAAACAGATCCACAATTGATTGAACTTGAGTTTCAAAAATGTTTGGTTCAATTGCATAACCACTCACGAGGTTCGACTCATAAAATACCTTCAAAGAATCGTTAACTGTTTGCATAGATAGGCTACAAAAATCTGCAAGGGCTATAAAGATAGTGGTAGGTGAAACTAGGGTTGGATTGGATGATAATTCTAGAGCAAGATCAATCGCAGCTACAATGTCAAGCCATGATCGTGTATTAAAATAACTTAAACAATACTGATGATACGATGGCTTGACAGTGATGAATTGTATATATGGAATTGCAATCTGAGTACATGGACAGGTAAGTGTTGATTTATATTGATCATGTAAATTTAAGTATGTCTTCAGATTTGGTTTCGGTTCGCTTTTCGTTATAGTACGTTCCGTAACTGAATAATATGTCGCAATTGCAGTACAAGCAACAATCAATAAAATCACATAAAGATACGTTTGTAGTCGACCTCTTCTGAGAACATGACTCTCGGAATCGTATATTGGAGCAGGAAATAAATTAATTTTAAGAAAATTTTTCTTCACACATGTGAAACAAGAGTCAGTCATATCTTTGCGACTTGAAGTGAAGAATTCGACGATGTATAATTTTTTTTTCTTTACTGTTTATTCTAATAACAGAAGGCAAACAATGTATTTTTTGTTTCAGCTAATGGCATTTTAATAGACGATGGTAATGATTTGAAAGCAGAAAACTTATCGCATTTATCTAATAGTGTTTATTACTATGCAAATATTCTCCTTTTTTCGCACACTTTGTTTTTTCATAGAAATTAACTTTTTCGTATGATGTCGCAACCATTATTTATAATAGCTGACTGATTCTATACATTCTGAATCGCAAAGCATCAGTCAAAAAAGCCGTGTCGAAGACGTTGACACACTGCAAGTTACAAATTTCTATGAAATAATGTGATAGTGGATTTCAAAGTTGAAAAAGAATAGAAGAATAAGAAAAAGAAAGAGATGATCATGAAATAAAAACATAAAGTTGCAAAATATTTGTCGTAAACTACCGTTTTATTTTAAAGGAGAATTGAAACGAAAATTGATGGACAATCTATTCAAAAATAGCACTATACTAAAAAATCGGGCATATCGTTACGAAGTTACAAAACAACAAGGATCGTAATTATGCCACATGCATGCGTTTATTTGTGCAAAGCTACACACTTTTTGTTATAGAAAAGCTGATGGCATAACATTATCGAATGATCATTCATATCCAAAATCATACATCGGTAAAACTAATAACTTTTCCGTCTCGAAAAACAATGTTCAATCAGGACAACATCATCCCGCCATATTTTCATCGTAAATATACGTTATATACAGGGTGTCCCAAAAGTAAGGAAACAAAGTTTTTTCTTCGATTTTTTTTCTTATAGAGCGTCAGCTAGTTCTCATATTTATATCACAGATACTAGATGACATAAGTGAAAGATCTAGCAAATGAACAATATCTGAATGTACTAATTTGTTCAAAAGCATACAAATATAGGGTAATCAATAATAAGGTAACATATGTGAGTTCTAGCAAAACTTTTATGAAAGCAACAGAACAGAAAAATTACACATAGCAAAGTATGTCTTTGTTAAGTCTGTGCAGTAAGAAGATTTTCACAAAAATTGCTCAATGTGTTCACCTTCTAAGTCTTTGCAAAGTTGCAGTCTCTCAGATACTGATTGACAAGCTTTTTGGCATAATTCCATTGGTAATCTCGCGACCTCTGTAATAATAGCATCTTTGAGTGCTTGAAGATTTCGGGATTTTTGTTGCATACACACGGTCTTTTATCACATCCCATAAAAAGAAGTCGGTCGGTGTCAAATCCGGTGCTCGAGCTGACCAGTCTATCGGCCCACACCGACCAATCCATCGATCAGGGAAGGTTTTGTCCAAGAAGCGTCGAACGGATTGGTGATAATGAGCTGGAGCTCCATCGTGCATATAAAATATTTCTTTTAAATTCATCTGATATTCAATAGCAGGAACAATTTCTTCATCAAGCATTTCCAGATAGCTGCGTCCAGTAACTGTATCACGAAAGAAGAACGGTCGAATAAGGCCTTCAGACCAAATTCCGGCTCATACAGTAATGCCTGAGGCATTAATCTCCTGGGTAATGATGATATGAGGGTTAGGGATGCAACGGTGACGATGGTCACCGGTGTGATCAGTCTACGGTTCACCGCAGGACCGGTCACTGCAGCAGCGGTGCACCGTTCACCGTTCCACCGGTATACGAGCACCGTAAGCACCGGTCATAATGTACTGCAGATATAGCTACTCAAGTTCAACTGTGTCTTATTAAAAATGAAGCTGCCCATCTCATAATTGAGAAGTGCACATATATTTGGTATCCCTCTACTTTCTGTAATTTATGATCATACTTCACAAATTTAATAAAATGTTTCTATATACTGACCGCTCCTTCAGTACGATGCTGACCGCAGGCGTACGCCAGACAACATCAAGATGCTCATTCAGCTGATATTTGTTAGTGCCAGACTATCTGGCTATGAAAGATGCTTATACAAACAAATTAGGTATGCCGCGTCAACAAACACCTTTAAGGTCAACAATAGCTCGTAGAATGTCGGGAACCTACGGTGATCGCCGGTTTAGAACATTCTACCGACTCATCAAAGCTTAGGATAACCAGCAGTACGCTTTTAATGTCCATTACCGGAGGTTTTCTTGGCCCTATCGATCCCATAACGTGCATGATTATCACATTCATCGACGAAAAAAAATTCCATTTAACTATAGTGAGCAGATCTAAATTACATGCTTTTACGCATTACCATTAATCCTAATCATGTTGGTTCGCAGAGCGGAGACCTACAGTGCCAGGCAGCTTCTAATATTTCACAGACTCGTTGAAGGCCAGAGCAACTAGTAATAGTAATCTAGTCATCATCACCGTGTGATTTCGTGAATCTATCAGTCGTATAACTAGCTTCGTAGACAGTCTCCGGAAAAACTTTTCACATGCTGTTTCGTCGTCTACTCAAATATATAGTTTTGTACATCATGATGAAAGTTAAAAATGCTGTTTAGAGAGCAGAAACCTACGGCGATGACCGGTTTGCAGCATTTGACAAGCTCATTGAGGCTCAGGGTAGTCAGTAATGCCCTTACAACCATTATCACCGTAGGTTCCGGTGACAATGTCGGTCCCAAAAACTGGCATCGCTATCATACTGATTTAGGAAAAAAAGTTTCATATACAATAATACATCGCTATAAATTATATACTTTTAAGCATCATCATGTAGTCTCATAATGCCAGTTACTAGAGCGGAGACCTACGGTGATAGACGGTTTCTAGCATTTACAGATTCATCGAGGCTCACAGTAACCAGCAGTGTCCATATAGTCAACATCATCGTAGGTTTTCATCACCCTATTGATTCTATTATTAGCTTAGTAGCCATGCACATCTTAGAAAAGATTTTTCATCATCAGTCTTGTTGTACACTCAGCTGGCTCTGTAAGTTCGCCTATTCGGAATTCGCCAACAATACGCTCACTAGTGGCGAATTTTCCCACGACATTCGTCTATTGGCGAATCTCTAGTATGAAATTCGTCAAAAAATATTAATTTTTGCCTTAGTATGTTCGCCAATGGGCGAATGTCATAGAGAAATTCGCCAACTTTAATCCGTAGAATTATGACTCAACTAAATTGATGATAGAATATTTAAGTATTACAGGGTGTGGGGTGTGTGTGTGGGCGTGGGCGTGGGTATTAGTATAGGTCAAGCGAATATACAACATCCAGACTCCCACCTACACCCACATCCACACCCATACCATTTTTCGTTAGTATATTCGCCAATTAGCAAATCTCTATCATGAAAATCGCCAATTTGGCGAATCTCTAGCATGAAATTCGCCAATAAAATTTTTGTTTTGCCACAGTGTATTCGCCAGTTGGCGAAAAGAAAGATTGGGAATGGTATAATTCCCCCACTCGGCTATACAGTTTTGACCGTCAACATGAAAGCTAACAATGGAAGTTAGAGAGCGAAAACCTATAGTTATAGCCGATTCAAAGAATTTGATGGACTAGTTGAGGCTCAAGATAACAGATAATGTCCGTCTAGCAGCCACCACCGTAGGCTTTTATTTTTATACCGACCACCTCGTTAGCCTGATGATTATATTCGTGCGTAAAAGTGTCTCGTATACGACTACATTCTCAAATCAAGAATACGGTTTCAATCCTAGAGTTTAAGGCGAACATGGCAGGTTAGAATATTAGGAGACCACTGATATGGTCGATTTTGATCATTTTTCAGACACCTGCATGTTTGCATCAATCACTGATGCTGTTACATCGGAGTTTGGCATAAGTTTTCAGGGTTCCACTGATCCTTTTCTTAATCGAATCACGGTAATCAAGTATGAAAGAAACGCTTTATGTGTTATAGTGCCGTCTAATAAGAAGTATAGCTTCGACTATCGTTATTAATGTTAGTGATGCAACGATGATGATTACCATAGGTATGGTTACAGGTTCACTACGTGAGCCATTGGTACAGTTATTGCTACAACTAAGAAAACTGCACCTAAGATTTCAGGACCAATTATGATAACCATAGGTACAGTTATCAGTCTTAGAAGGCTTTCGTGAAACACAGTATTTTCTAAGACACTAACGAATTCCTGTGAAAGCTAAAGAACGATGATCATGATCAGAAAATCGGAATCTGAGGTCAAATTTTGAAAATGTTTAAGTTGACTTTGTACGCTAAGGAAAGATTTTCTAAGAAGATGCTGATATTTAGTAAAGAGTGACGAAAGTAAATCGGTTTCCAGGGGCTCGAATGTGATATCAATTTATTAAGGCTCTGCATTTCAATTATCAATAAAATGATTTCTTGATGAATGCTATAGTTTTCTAAAATATTAGAGGCGAATGCGTCAAGTTGAATTTCCCTTCATCAACCCATCGAGGAAATAGTTACTTTCATAATAAACACTCACTTAATCTAAAAACTTCACTTTAAAATTTTCAAAGACTGACTTTGAATTCAGACTCTCCGGCTCCAGTTTACTTCGTCAACCTTTATAAAAACCTCCCTTTCTTAGCAATGCTGTTTTTCACGACACCCGTTTTGACCTAATAACTATATCTAGGAGGATCGTAGTTGGACTGGTAACTGTAAGTGCGGTTATCGCAATCGGACTATCAGCCGTACCCACGATCCTCGTAGTTTGGCTACTAACGATAAAAACAGTTATCGTATTTAGACCGGTATCCGTAGGTATGCTTATCGTGACTAGACCAATGACCGTAGGTGTGGCCATATAATAACGCTGATAACTATCAACGCGGTATCATAGTTGGACTGGTAACCGTAGGTACGTTTATCGTAATTGCACCAATAGCTTTACTTACGGTAATCGTAGCTAGGCGAGTAACCGTAACTTAGATGATAGTAGTTAGACTGGTAAGCGTACCTATGGCTATTGTAATGTCCGTTTCAAAATATAATGCGTCCCACTGTTTTTTGAATAACTCAAGAACGCAATCAGCTAGAGACCTGCGGTTTTCACCAATCGAAAGAAGAGACAGGGGGGCGTCTTTTTATTCAATATAGTATCAGACGGAATCATTTTGAAACCAGTCATTTCTGCATAACATCGAAAAAATGGTCTGTCATTCCGATGAAATTTTGACAAAAAGTAAAAAAATTTGCTTCAAAATTAAAAGAAATTCATAGTTTTCTTGCGAGTAAATCGACGATTTTATTTGCTAAACGTTAGGATGCGGTAAGATAATCATTCGAATTATATCCTGAAGTATAGACCCGAAGTCCCTCTATCTCGATCACATGTCAAAAGGAAAATTTCTTCAGAATGCCTGGTCGTTTTCATGCATTTTTTGCAATGTTTTGCAGAAATGACTGATTCTAAAATGATTTTGTCCAATACAATATTGGAGAAAAAGACGTCCCCCTGTCTCTTCTTTCGATTGGTGAAAACCGCAGTTCTCTAGTTGATTGCGTCCTTGAGTTATTCGAAAAACAGTGGGACGCATTATATTTTGAAACGGACATTAGTTGGATTGATTACGGTAGTCTCGGTGATGGTAGTTAGATCTGTAACCGTAGGTACAGTGATCTTAGGTGGGCCAGTAACCATTGGTACGGTTATTGTGATTGGATCGAAAAACCTAGGTACAATGACTGTAGCTGTACCGGTAACCGTAGGTATGGTTATCCGTAGCTTCTCAAAAGAGATACTTTTGAAAAAAGCTAACAGCTACTTAATGATTCTCTACAACTACTTAATGATTATACAGCTATTTAATGAATTCCTATAGCTGCTTAACGATTTCATATAGCTACTTAATGGTTTTCTACAGCTACTTAATGAATTTCTATAGCTACTTAATGATTGTTTATATCCACTTTATGGTTTCCTGTAGATACCTAATCATTCTACAACTACTTCAAGTTTTGCTTTGATTATTAAGACATCCCACGTTTATTTTAAGTTGGTGTACGTAATTGGAGTTTGAATAACGATTAAAAGACTCCGTAGTCATTTTAACATACTACAGCGTTTAAAAACCTCGCGGATAATTATAAAAACCATTGTTATATATAAACTAATTGCCATTGAAACGATATGAAATATTCCCTTCATTATTTATAGCTATTATAACCTTTTCATGGCCATTAATATGATTTCTTAAATATTGAAAAGCTTTATACTGATGATTATTTGACTAGCTAATAGATCTCTAAGATATTTGTATTTTTTGTCTGTGGCTCACAACTTAATATTGTGCTCTCTTTCTTTTCTCGTTACTATGTATCGTTAAAATATCTATCATAATCTCACAAAGAATCTATATCTGAATGACTCATAATATTATGAAGAAGAATAAATGAAATATTTTGAAAAACCAATATGCCATAAAAGTCATCATTTTTAGAATTTTCTTTAAACCAAGTAGCAAACAAAATTATAAATATTTGAATTCTTTATTACAAACCAAATACGGATTTTAATTACGAATATATCAATTTTATTTCATAAAACGCTTCACTGATTTAGATTAAAGAAATCAATATTTTTCCACAAACCAAATAGACATTGAAGCTATTAATATTTAGACGTTTTTGACGAACCTCTTGCTCTAATTGAAGTATTAAAAAGTAATTAAATTCATGAATATTTTTATGAACCCAATAGGAATTCAAATTGTGAATACTGAAGTTTTTTATTTGAATTTTTTTAAAAACCTAATGATGAAACTTAATCATTAATACGAAGTCAAATCATAAATATTGGAATTTTTTCCTTCAACCATCTCTCTGCTCAAACTATATCATTAAAATGATTCATTTTATGAATATTCGAATATTTTAACGAATCCAATAGCTATTCATATTTTGAATATTTGGATTTTTCATCAAAACCAAATTAAAATTAAAATTATGAACATTTGAATCCTCTCCATTCAACCGCCCCAATGCTCAGATTATATCATTAACAAAAATATTATAAATATTCGAAAATTTTTGGGAACCCAATAGAGGTTAACATTATCAATATTCTGAGTTTCCTTCATAAACCCAATTAAAGTAAAAACTATGAATATTTGACTTTCTTCATTTCAACCGTCTCCCTGCTCAAACTATGTCATTAAAAAGATTTTTTTTAGGAATATTCGAATATTTTTGGGAACCCAATAGATATTCAAATTTTGAATATATGAATTCTCTCCACTTCAACCGCCCTATCATTAGGTAGCTATAGGAAATCATTAAGTAGCTATATAATTCATTTAGTAGCTGTAGAATCATTAGGTAACTATAGGTAATCATTAAATAGCTACAGAAATTCATTAAGTAGCTATAGAATTCATTAAGTAGCTGTAGAATCATAGGCAGGAATAACAAATCATTAAGTAGCTATAGGAATTCATTTAGTAGCTATAGGAAATCATTAAGTAGCTACAGAAATTCATGAAGTAGTCATAGAATTCCTTAAGTAGCTGTAGAATCATAGGTAGGAATAAGAAAGCATTCAGTACCTGTAATTAACAAAAAATACACAAGAGCAGTATTAAAAAGTATCTCTTTTGAGAATGAGCCGTGGTTATCGGCTTCGACCGGCGAAATGACCTTCACCGTTGTATTTCTAGTCAATATCAATACCCTCTATTTAGAACTACGAAAATCTGCGATGATGGCCGGTTTCCGCTATTACTCAGACAACATGAGACTCAATGCATCCAGCAGTACTAATGGTAAAGTTGCAACTCGTCACGATTTTTCTTGTCTGGCTTTCGTAACGAATTGATAGTACGAAAGCCCATAACAGAGGTTTCGTAACGACAGAATCAGGGCTTTCGTAACAAAAAATCAGAGCTATCGTAACGAATTTTACAGGGTGATCGTAACCGGTGGTTTGATATGTGACTTCGTTACGATACCCCTAATTTTTGTTACGAAATCCCTGTTGGCTCGTTGCGAAAACTCTGCAACTGTTACGAACTCCCTGTAAATAACAGCTACGATTGCCCTGTAAATTTTGTTACGATATCCCTGTTTTCTCGGATATCCCTATTTTTAGCGTTACGAAAGCCCTGTTTTTTCTGAAAAATTCAAATCGTCACGTGACGAGTTGCAACCTTCTCGTACTAACATGTCAGTCTTCATTATGGCTCTTTATAACCTTATCGGCTTGATTCTCTGCTTTATTCCAAAATTCTGATTAGTATTTTCCAAAATTAATTAGGAAGAGGAATTACTTCTTATCAGAAAGTTAAGTGCTCGAGCTTCTGAGATGTAACGCGTAGGAGAGACACCGAAATACAAAAAAGTGACCGGTGCACCGGTCCCACCGCCTCACCGTACCACCGGTGCACCGTTCACCGGTCTCACCGACCCACCGGTTCATCGTTCACCGGTCTCACCGTTCCACCGGTTCACCGTTCATCGGTTGCACCGATCCATCGATTCATCGTGCCAACCGGTGTGCGGTGGCACCGTTAGTGCGGTGGAACGGTGGACCGTCACCGGTGCACCCCTAATGAGGGTTTTCTGTAGCATAGTAAACACAGTTATGTCGATTGACGTGTCCATTCAACAAGTAGTTTCATCGGTTCACACAATTCGATCAGGAAACGAAGAGTCTTCAGCGACCAATTTCAGAAAGATATCAGCACATTCGCTGCGTCTGTCGGGATCATCCTCGCTTAGAGCATGCAGTAATTGAGGACGATAAGGCTTCAATCCCAACTCCTTCATCATTCGTTGAAGACTGATTTTAGACAAATTTAAATCCAATGAAGCGCTTCTTAATGATGTTCCAGGACTTTCTTCATAAGCTGCACGAACACGTTGTTTGTTTTCATCGGTACTGACAGATCTAGGTCTGTCAGACCTGGGTTCATCTTCGACACTTCCGGTTTCATCAAATTTTCGTACGCGATTCAAAATATTCTTTGGTGTTGGAGGAGTTTGATCATAACATTGTTGAAATTGACGAGCAATTTCACCTGAATTCTGGTACATAGCATACCATTTTACAATTTCAATCCTTTCAGATGTCGACACATGAGAACTTTCACTCATGATTAAAAAAATATGAAAAACGAAGTTAGAACTGCGAAAGAAGAAACAGATAGTAAATAGAGAATAAAATATGAATCATCTGATAAAAGAGATGCCTATTCGTATTGTTTACTGTAAACGTCACCACTAGTACATATATAAATACCATCAAAGACAAGGTAGTATACGCTACGGCAGTGGAAAGTATAACTGTCAAGTATGTTTCAATTTCTTCCGTAATACTATATTTGTATGCTTTTGAACAAATTAGTACATTCAGATATTGTTCATTTGCTAGATCTTTCACTTATGTCATCTAGTATCTGTGATATAAATATGAGAACTAGCTGACGCTCTATAAGAAAAAAAATCGGAAAAAAAACTTTGTTTCCGTACTTTTGAGACACCCTGTGTTATATTGTTACACAAATTATTTGTACTTTTCTCGAAGGCTCACACTTGATGATGGTCAAGATCGACTCCCATCATACAAAGAAGGGTATATTTCTTCCTCTCATCAGCTTCCTGTATCGAACTCTACAAGTGTACTACCGACAACAGAGAAAACGCAATCATCAGCTTTCTTGTTCAAAACTATATCAATTAGAGGACAGTAAGTTCTGCACATATGAAAATATTATTTATTCAAACATTTCTGTGTTTCAATTCAAGTGAAATTAACATATGGATATTGTTTTTGATAATTATTGCCTTGATCATTATTCTTCTTGTGGCCATTGTGGTACCAGTCGTTCTGGTTATACGAAACAGAAATTCAGCACAACCTGGTAAGAATTTATTCTAACGCAGAAAATACCTAATTTTCTTCGTCACTTGCTCATCAAAAGGTACACAACTGTATTCAGGTTATTGAGCTGACTTTGAGTACTAGTTCTCAAGTCACAAAAGTGAGATTTTAACCTATACCAGACTTTCTATGTCCTGTATGGTAGGAAAACATTTCCAAAATGTAACGTACATGACGGGCTACCGGAATTTATATTTCTTGAAAATTTGTTAACTATATGATTATATATTAGCCCATCAACACTGACATCCATATTCACACTCTCATCCTCACCCATACCTTGTATGTATTCAGCAATCATAGAGGATTTACTCAAGATGGACTTATTGAAGAGTCTCAATAAATGCCATTAAGATAAGCTACGATAACTGCTGCACTCACAGCCATATTCAGACGCACAAACACCTACATCCACTCTTCACCCACACCCTGCAGGCATAATGCGCACTCTTGTCCGCACCGAAACGTTCACTCGCATTCTCAAGAAACTTCCTGAAACATTTAGAAGTCATCTTTGTTTTGGCCTTGCTTGATTTCATTTGCTTTGCAGTTGAAAATGGCGAGAAGCCTTCAACCACTGGCACTCCACCAACTTACAGTCTAATTACGAGCCAACGTGCTCCCTGGACAGGTAGTTTCATCGTCGCTAATTCCAGCTGTGATCAATCGCGATGCTGCTGTTTTATAAACAATGTTGTTCTAACGCAACCGACATCTACCACTTTTAGCATCTCGTGTACAATCGATGGAAATTGCGGTACGACACGATGTCTGTTAGAAAACATGGAGTATCCGATCGGTTACTCTAAATTGGTGACAGTAGATAAAACCCCATATTTGTTCGAATTGAGTGCTGACGGCAACACTCTTGTGCTAAGAAATCTGTTAAATTCTGCATGTAGTGTAACGACCGCTCGACTAGATTCTGCAACATCCTCACAAACATCCACACTTGCGCTTACAACTACGTCCACAGTCGTTTTGACAACTACATCCACATCCGCTTTGACAACTACGTCCACAGTCATTTTCACAACTGCATCCACATTTGTACTAACTGCTACATCAACAAGCGCATCAACCAGTATAGTCACAAGTGTACCAATAACGACATCAATGATCAATCAACTGCCTCCGTGGCCGGGCACTTTCGTCACTCGTTCCAGTTGCAGTCAAATTGCGTGCTGCTGTCCAACTGGCCAAGTTTTTATAACACAAACTACACCCAGCACTCTAAGCATTACGTCCACATTAAAAGGCTGGTTGTGCACTATATACGCAGGTACACGAACACAAACTGTATCTTATCCATCTCAGTACAGTATATCGCTGACAATTTTAATATATACATACAATATTGCTTTGAGCTCGGACGGTAATACTATAACACTTACAAATACGAATATGCATGTATGCGACGAAACAGCCATTCGAAGTGGAACTGGTCGTTAACTGCGACAAATGAAACTGTCACTATCATAATTGTTATTTCTTCTGCACTCCTTGGTGCATTTGCAATCAGTGTCTTCCTTCGGATATTGCCTGTTTGCTTCTACATTAACTTCGCACTTTAAAATTATTCATTAAAGTAACATAATCTTTTCTTCGTTTGAACGACTATTTTTTTATTATTCCTCAAGAAAATGGTGAATCCGTATAAATTACTAGATCGAATAGATTCACAGTCGAATCTCTTTAGAGAATGTGAATAGGTATATGATCGATGTGCTGGATGTCGCTTTTCTTTCTACCCATACCTATGCCCACATCTTTGTGTGTGGGTGTGGGTGTGGGGTCTGAGTGTGGGTGTGGGTGTGAATGTGGGTGTAGGTGTGCGTGTGGGTGTGGGTGTGGGTGTGGCGGTGTGGGTGGGGTGTGTGAGTGTGGATGTGGGTGTG